GTCTTCAGACTGTCGTCAGACTGTCGTCAGACTGTTTTCAGACCGTCTTCAAACGTTTTCAGACTGTCTTCAAACTTGTTTTCAGACTGTCGTCAGACTGTCGTCAGACTGTCTTCAGACTGTTTTCAGACTGTCCTCAAACGTTTTCAGACTGTCTTCAAACTTGTTTTCAGACCGTCTTCAAACGTTTTCAGTCTGTCGTCAGACTGTTTTCAGACCGTCATCAGACTGTTTTCAGACCGTCGTCAGACTGTTTTCAGACCGTCGTCAGACTGTCTTCAGACCGTCTTCAGACTGTTTTCAGACCGTCATCAGACTGTTTTCAGACTGTCTACAGACTGTTTTCAGACTGTCTTCAGTCTGTCTACAGACTGTTTTCAGACTGTCTTCAGTCTGTCTACAGACTGTTTTCAGACCGTCGTCAGACTGTTTTCAGTCTGTCGTCAGACTGTTTTCAGACTGTCTTCAGTCTGTCATCAGACTGTTTTCAGACCGTCGTCAGACTGTTTTCAGACCGTCGTCAGACTGTTTTCAGACTGTCGTCAGACTGTCTTCAGACAGTCTTCAGACTGTCCTCAGACTGTCCTCAGACTGTCCTCAGACTGTCTTCAGAAGACTCAGTGTTAAAGACGCAGAGACTCACATCACATCAGGTTTAGTGAACAGGAAGTAAAGACTAGCTGTGGTGGCTCCTGTCGCTGCTAACACCGTGAAGCCCACCAGAGGGATGATCTGAAGACATGCAGAACCACCTTTACAGGTCCTTAACAACAAAAACAAAAACCACAAGAACCAAACAACAACAACAACCAAACAACAACAACAACCAAACAACAACAACAACCAAACAACAACAACAACCAAACAACAAGAACCAAACAACAAGAACCAAACAACAGGTCCTCACAGGGTCCAGTCTAACTCACCTCCTTCCTCTTCCTCAACAGCTGGAACAAAGACATGTCTGAAACTCTTCAGCACCTGCAGAGGACAGAGCTGTGAGTGAGGAGCAAACATGAGCATCATCCTGAGGACGGACCAGAGACCAGGTCTTGGACCAGGTCTTACCTGCACCTCTGAAGTCCCTGATGTCTCTGAGTCGTGCAGAGTGGAACAGGGACAGATGAAGGCTGGGTGGAGGKTTGGACGAGGTAAAAGGCACGTAGACAGATGCAGCTTCCTGTATTGTAATTCAGCTCTGATGGTAAAACCTGCACTTCATGTTAATGAATAGAGCCTCAGCGAGCAGCGCCCCCTGCTGTCACACTGAGGAACTGCTCCGTAAAAAACACAACTCTGAGTGGAGTGGGACTGATTTTATTAGAATCTGTTATCTGTGTGAACACATGAAGACAGCAGGGTGAGTCACGTGGGCGGAGTCAGATAAATCACGTGGGCGGAGTCAGATAAGCTTTGATCTGCTGAGCGCTGAGAGAAGGCCTCAGTTTACTGAGACAATGAAGGAAATGGGAGCGTTTGATGGTGGAAGCCTCCATGTTCTCCTCCAGCAGCGCCAGAAGAGCAGCCTGCAACACAGACAGAGAGAAGCTCTGAGCTCAGGTGTGTCTCTGCAGGTGTGTTTCTACCTGCAGCTGCTCCCCGCTCACCTCTTTGCARAGGTTCTCCAGGTCGGCTCCAGAGAACAGCTGAGTCGATGCAGCCAGCTCCTCCAGACACACGTCAGAGTCCACGGGCATGGAGGAGGTGCACACCTGCAGCACGGAGAGCCGGGCCTGAAAACACGAAAACACGCTGGGCTCAGGTCAGGGTTCAACACCATCRGCTTTTTTACCTGCCTGATATGAAAGGTTACCTGTCCGAAACAAAAAATGTTCAAAATTTGATCAAATATGAAAACTGTGTACTGTATGTGTACTATAAATATAATAACATGGTTACACACAGAGGTACATAATATATTTATAGTACACATACAGTACTATAAATATATTAACATGGTTACACACAGAGGTACAAAATTTATGACATCTGATTGAACAGATGCAAACATTTCAGACTGAGTCACTCAGTTGTTTTATCAAAAACCTTTTTTAGACCTTTCCAGTGTTTCTCCTACAGCAGAGGTTCTCAAACTGAGGAGATATCTTAAATAGGTATTTTGTCTTGTCAAAATATATTAAGAGATGTCTATTTATTTGTTTGATTCTTTCATTTATAAAAACAAAACAATATATACAGCATTAAAAAGACAAAGTAAACCCTACCCTGAATTAAAAGGGTGCAGAGTGAAGTAAAAAAACTCTTATTTTCAAAAATCAACAAACAAACAAAAAAGCTCAAGATCTCCAAATTTAAACAATTAGTAAAT